ATTAGCATTTCCAGGGGAAGTGGGCAATCCCTTTCTCAAGATAAATGAATTTTCAGTGGATTTTATCCATCCATTAATCTTATTTTTGTGTCTGAATCAGATGTAGCCCTAAGTGATTGTTTTGCAGTGAGCTGTTGATTCTGCATCAAACTGAACAAATTCCTTCTCACTGCACTTTAAAACCAGAAACTGCTCCTAAGTTACTCCCACAATCCATTAAGTAAAGATTCTTCAGGAAACATGCAACTCATTCACATTGTTCTCCATGACTGCAATAATTTCTTAAGTTTTTCTCTCCTCTCTTCTTAGTGACCAGGTCTTAAAGGGTAATTTCTGTTGTCCTTGTAAACGTTTTTCCTTGAGAGACAGAACTGAGGCTAGTGTCTGAAACTAAAACTCAATGAAATCTAAGCTTGGCATAATACCAAGGTCCAATCAAGGTCTCTTGTAACTTCGTTTCACTATTACAGATATCAATAAAAAAGGTATTGAACATTTCACCTTTTTCTTATTAGTTTCCATTCCCTTATGCATCCAGTAATCCAATGTGTAGAAAACTGGATCCATCTCTAAATTCCACTGATAACTTTTACATTTAGCAACTGAGATCAGAGTAGCTGCTACGCCATGCAACGGCCAAATGGCTGCTGAATCAGATTCCCAGTCCCCCATCCGCTGACCCTATTCTCTTTACCAACCACAAGTTTCTGTGAGCCAGGGCCATTATAGCAAATCTCACTTCTGTGAAACAAACGTGTACGAGGGAAAATTCCCTGTGTTAAAAGAAAAATACCCAAAGACACCCATTATAGTACAATAATCTTTACTGAATATGCTGCAGGCTTTTCCAATAGGTGCAGGCACTGCTATAATGAAATACTGCAGTGATGGAACAAAGGGATCAACTTCAAATATAGCCGACCCTCCATATCCATGGGTCCTCTACCTGTGGATTCAACCACACTAAGATCAAAATTATGTACAATATATAAGTCCATGAGGGTGTGTCTATAATAAACATGTACAGATTAATTTTCCTGCTATATAGCATAACAAGCATTTACATTGCAGTTATACGATAGTAGGTATTGTAACTTTATTATACTTTACTTATATATGCACTGGCCACTAATATACTTTAGACTTAAAGTATATGGAAGGATATGCAAATACCACATCATTTTATATAAGGGATTTGCTCACAAGGATTCTGGTATCTTGAAGGGCGGGGGTGGTTCTGGACCAAGCCCCCTGGGTCACCATGGGATAACTGTATTGCATGAGTAAGTGGGAAGTTAAAGTCAAGGGATAGGGTGGTAGGTCAGTGAATAAAAAGTTACTAAGAGGAAACATCAGAAGTAATGGGGCTTCTGGCCAAATACACCTAACAGGATCTTACTGAAGTAGGCCCAGGTGGTCATCTGGAGGAGAGTGGAAATAACTTGATCAGTTATCAATAGTAATCAGACATCAAGGGTGGGAGCTTCTTGTTAAACTGACTTAGAAGTGTTCTTGTTAAAACTTCACAGAATGTGCACAGGTGGGCCTAGAAGGTGGTTCAAAGGGCTGACCAAAACTTAGTCAAAGAATCTTTGTCAGTCCTCACTCTTGTTAAGAAGAGACATCCTGGGCCCTCCATGGTGGCTCAGCGGGCTAGGACGCAGCACTGCAAGCTAGCAGCAGCCACTTCAGTGAGAGTTCGATCCCCAGCCCAGGAGGATCCACATGGCACAGCAGACCTCTCCTGACCCGCCCGCTGCTCCCCTCAGCAGTGTACTTCGTCAATCTGCCTGTTCTGCTCCCCACTCTGCCTCTGGGAAGTCTCTCACCACCCCCTGCACATCTGGCTGTACCCCAGTTCTGTATGCACAAATAAATCTTTTTTTTTTTTTAAAGATTTATTTATTTATTTGTGCATACAGAACTGGGGTACAGGCCAGAGGCTCAGGGGCGGTAAGAGGCTTCACCAGAGACAGAGCGGGGAGCAGAACAGGCAGATCGACGAAGTACACTGCTGAGGGAAGCAGCGGGCGGGTCAGGAGAGGTCTGGCTCGCCATGTGGTCTCCTCTGGGGCAGGCGGCAGGCGGGAATCGGGAATCGAACTCATGCGGAAGTGGCTTCAGATTCTCAGTGCTGTGCTTTAACCTGCTGCGCCACCAGGGAGGGCGGCACAAATAAATCTTCAAAAAAAAAAAAAGAAGAGACATCCCTATTTCTTCTGGACAATATTAGTGTGTTTTCTCATTCAGTAGCGTTCTGTTCATTAAGGAACCAGCTAGACTAACTGCTGGGACTTGGTATTAGATGATATTTGCTCAATGATGCCAACAGTCAGGCAATGACTGAAGGGGAGTTTCTATGCAAATAAAAGGAAAACAAAAAATAGTTAGAAACATAGTTTTTTAAGTCCAGTGGCAGTCATTTGAGATCTTTAGGTGACTGAGGTGATGATGATTCAGACAGTAGTCATCTAAAGAATTTTCCTGATTTGCAGCTTGAATGTCTCTTGTGGAGACATCAAGTATTATGAACCCTGTGAGTGGTCCATATAGCAGGAAGCACAAGGATTAATCCATACATGATCTGTTGTGAATTTTTTTTTTAAGTTTATACCAAGTTATCAAACTTCAGTAAAAGGGGTAGTTTTAGTTCTCAGTGATTCAGTCAGGAAGGTAGATGAAAACTCTGAAATATTCCTTTGGAGGGCTATAGCTAGATATTGGAGAAAACTAGAATCGAGAATTTAGTGAGAACTGTCAAAATGCACAAAACAAAACCCACAAGGATGCAATGTAGTTTTCCACTGAAGTTTAAAAAAAGATTCTCTACAAGCCAAACTTTTGGTTCTTGTTTACAAAATAATTCTGGTCTTATTAGATTTGTGCAACAAGAATAATGCCTGACTATATGAAATATTTTTGTGTTTACTTTAATAGAACTGTGCAAATAGATTAGACGTCTAAAAATCTCTCAAGGCTAGGAAATCAATCCAGGAACTAGCTACCATCTTTGCCACCCACGCTTACAGATTAAGGATAAAGCCTCTCTTCCTGAAGTTCCCAAGATACTCACAAGTTTCTGGACTGATTTCCTAGCCTTAAGAGATTTTTAGACATTTCTTCAGCAGAACTGTTTTCCAAGGTATTTCACTTGAACTGAAAAGTGTCAATTTCATTATAGGACTTTAAAATTTTTTGAATGTCATTTGGCTTTAGACAATTTGTCTTTATTAAACAAAAAAAAAATCCACACACAAAACAGATACATAGAACTATTCCTAATTACTGCTTGCTTACCAATGGCGGCTCTTTAAAAGTAGGCCACATTTCTTTTAATTACTGTTAAATACAACACTGTGATTTTGAAACCTGCACCAGTTTTAGTCTGTCAAAATTAAGCAGTTAGTCCAAGAATTTCTTAGGAAAAGGCACTTGCTGCATAACAAGGAAGCTGTGCTAGGTTTAATTTAGATCATGGCTTCACTAATATAAATCTTTTAATTTTACCTGCATCTTCACTAATATGAATCTTTTAATTTTACCTGCATCGACAGAACCAGAAATAACTACAAATGTTGCTAACATAAAAATACAAAGTAACTGGGTCCTCCCTGGTGGTGCAGCCGTCTATTAGAGAACAGCGCTATGGAGCTAAAGCCACTGCAGCATGAGTTCCATCCCAGCCAGGAGGTGACCACATGGTGCAGCAGACCTCTCCTGACCGGCCCACTGCTCCCCTCAGCAGTGTGCTTCCTCAGCCGGCTTGTTCTGCTCCCAACTGTCTCTGTGAATCCTCTCATCACCCCTGCTCCTCTGGCCTGTACCCCACTTCTGTATGCATAAATAACTCTTAAAAAAACACACAAAGTATTTATTATACTGCAGACTGATGTTACTCTAACATATGGTTATTCACGTTACTGTAATTGTCTTATGGCCAATGTGTGGTAGCTTTTTTTCCTACCTAAGCTCAGTCTATTTGCAAATGGAAAATACTTGACCCTCTAAAGCATAAAACCCAAACAATGCCTCATATTTTAAATGCATCACAAGTTGTTCGGTTTTCTGACAACTCTTTTTTTGAGATGTCCCTCAATAACTACAAATTATTACTATCCGAAGTCGGTCAATTAATAAATGTGTTGCTCAGTTAGTGGCAGAGAAGTAACTGTAAGTTAGTGGTTAAGAAGCCCCGTAATTCAGCATTTAATACCTACTGTTGCTCTTAATGCCAACAGGCTGACTCAGACTAATGAGCTCTCCGGTGCCACTGCCTAACACAGGCCTGTCAAGATGAGCACTCCGCAGGAGTCTCCAGAACTCACCCAACCACTGGACTTGCCTCTCTTACATAAAGAGGGGTGAGTTTTAGGTTCTCTGCCACAAGGACGTGCACTGAGAACAATTAAAGCATCTCACGATTTTGGAGAGAACATCCCTTCCCTTCTCTACAGTGAATCCTAAGGTAGATCAAGACCGCTCCGCAGAAAGACTTCGGTCTGGGTTAGGACCGGCTCTCCGAACACAAGAGGAGGCTTTCAACCCCGGGAGGTGCCGAAACAGAGCCGAACTGCAAACTAGACCGCCCCTCGCCGTCCCTGGCGATCCAGGTTGCAAATCCCCGCGCCTGGGGACCAATCACGCTGGGGAACCTGCAGGACGCTGCAGCCCGAAGTGGGCGCAGCTCGCCCCGCCCAAAGCACCCCGAGTCGGGGCCGCTGCTTCAAAACCTACGAGCCTTTATCACTGTCCCCGCCCCGGGAGACGCGAAGCCCCCGACCACAAAATCTGCTCTTCACACAAGTCTAACGAGCCTGAACACCAGGTTGCGGGGTCCCACCACCGCCCCAGCAAAGTTCAAGGCATCGTAACGGCGTTTTCCTTCAGAACTTGGGCGCCCGACCGCGCCCTCAGACTGGGCCCGTGTCCCCCCCCTACCGCCAGGAAGGGGGCGGTCCCCGGCCCTTTCAGCCCCCCGCACCCCCGACCACTCTACTCACAGGCTGGTGGCGTCGGGGGGCAGCGGGCGCGACAGCGCCCTCCAGCTCGGGGCGGGCACTTTCCTGCGACTGCAATCCAGCAGAGCGGCGCGGCAGGAGCAAGGCGCGGGGCAGAGGCTTGCCCCGGAGGCCGGCAGCAGGAGGAGGGCGGCCTGGACGGCGAGCAGGAGCCGACCAAGCCGTCCGCACCGACGCTCCAGCTGCGGCTCCTCACGGACGCCTTGGGGCGCCGGCGCCATTTTCCACCCCCTCCCCCCCCACCTGGACCCGGCCGAGAAGAACCACCAGCTAGAAAAGGAGGCTCGGCGGGGACGTTTGGCGGCCGCGACACCACCCTAAGCCCCAGCAGTCTGCAATCCGCTGTAAAGTCAGGTGAGGGGCGGATACCGCGCGGCGGTGGGAGCGGCGGTCGAGGACACGGATGAGGCCCCACAGACTACGACCCGCGCCCCGCCCCGCGGCACGACGTCTTCACGCACGGGAACCAGCCAATCGGCGCCGCCGGACGGGGTCGCGTCGGGGGCGGGGCCCGTGAGGAGGCGGGGCCGGAGACCGCGAGCTCTTTAAGGAGGATTTTAAGGTTCCAGGCTCCCCTCGGGGGTCCGCCGCCGTCCGTCCGCTGGAGGGCGCAGTGGCTCCTTAGAAGGATCGGGGCCCAAAGTGTTGAGAGGCTCAAGTCCTGACCTGGGCATAATTGCCAGAGCAGTTTGGAAAGAATATTTTACCTTCCCGAGGCTACGAGAAGGGGGAACGGCCTTCCAGGTCGCAGGCGAGAGTGAGTGCGGGAGATTCCATCCGGTCTGGTGGGCTCCGAGACCCTACCTGGGGCTTTTCTCTGCCCCCTGCTGCTCACCTGGCTCAGGTGCGGCCAGTAGTGGTAGCGACCATTAAGCCGGGAAGCCTACCTGTTAATCGCCTTGACAGACCTAGAAGCTCCTGGAGCCAGGCTGTTTATTCCTGTGTGGGCCCCACGCTGTTTCCCAACTTGGAGTTCAATAAATGTTGGTGGGTTTGCACCTGCAAAGCTGGCTAATCTTCCCTCTGATTTCGAGACCGCTGACCTAGATACCCTCTCACTGAAAAGTCCTGGGAGTCCTATAGAAGGAGGGTGTTGAACAGTCAACAAAGTGAAGGCTGGGTGTGATGGAAGTTTTTATTTATCCAGAAGCTGAGGCTAGATCAGGAAATAAATCCTGTGAGATGAAATCACCCCAGGCAGAAGCAGACTGAGGATACTTTGGGTTTTCTGAACTCTTATAAATTAAAAACTGCTCCCTGTTGCTACCCCACACCCAATCTGTTAGCAAATTCAAAATATGTTTTTTTAAAAAAGATTTATTTATTTATGCATACAGAACTGGGTACAGGCCAGAGGTGCAGGGGTGGTGAGAGGATTCACCAGAGACAGAGTGGGAGGTTGGGGGCAGGACAGGCAGACTGATAAAGTACACTGCTGAGGGGAGCAGCAGGGAGACAGGAGATGTCTACTGAGCTTGTGGGTCATCTCCCTGTCTGGGAATTGAACTCGTACTGAAGTAGCTTTAGCTTCATAGTGCTGTGCTTTAACCTGCTGCACTACCAGGGAGGGCCCCAAATTCAAAATATGTCTGAACCCTATCATTTCTTTCTATATCCATCACGTCACAATAGCCCAAAATGCAATCATCACTCACCTATAGCACTGCAATGACTTCCTAATAAAACTCCTATTTCTAAATTTGTTTCCCTCAAAGTCCTCCAAATATTAAACAATGTGCATAGACTCTCTGATAGATAAATCAGAATGCCAGCAATTCACTATACTATAAGATAGAGCTTATACACTGTATGTTACAGGGCAGGGAGAGGGGCGCCCCAGGACCCTTAAACCTGCGCACTCTAAATAGGTTCTGCCATCTGCTTCATCAAGACAAAATATATAAGACCTTTAGTGGAAAGGAACTTTAATACAATTGGTGTGCAATACAGAAAAGACAATATAGTTTTTAAATCAAACACCAAAGTGACCCATCCCCTCAAAAGTCCACCCAAAGGGACTGGCCCAGAGGAAGGCCTGAAAGCCCACCACAGTCTAAAGCACCTTCTGGCAGGCAGGATCCATAGAAAAGGGTCAGAAATGGCCAAACAAGTCTGGGAGGAAAAAAGCAAAATTAAAATCCAGGTAAACACTGCCATAATCAACCTCCCTCTGGGTCTCTCACCCACATCTGTTCCTACCAGTCCAGGACCAAGAAACAAGAGCTGCTTCTTCACTGTCTCTGCTCCCTGTGCCTCCCTCAGGTCCCCTTCTGGCCTCCATCTTACTTCCTTCCTCCTCAGTCTCCTCTCCAGATTCTTCTCCTCTGCTCAGCTCCACCCTCCTTTGGGTAGGGCAGGGACCCTGGAACTTCCCCTTTTCCTAGGGACCCCCCCCATTACATATATAGCATATAAAATGTCAGTTTTTTTAACCTATTGAAATAATTGTGTAGTTTTTTGTCTTTAAGACACAAATATATTCTCTGATACATAAGGTCACACATCATATGAGAGATAGGTAAATATATACTATATGAGATAAACCAACATGTGTGAAACAATACTCCAGACATACTTATTACAAAAAGTCTTTGCCTGCATAGAATGAACACATTAAGCTGGTAAAAGATATTTACCAAAAACTGTAGCAAACTTCGTAACAGAGCAACACTGAATATGTAAAATATATTCATTTTACATTAGGACCAAACAAAGGATATTATGACTGCTCCATTTAGCACTGTCCTAGAGGTCCCACCCAGTGCAAGCCAAGATAAGATACAAGATTGTAAGGGAAGAAACAAAATTACCCTTACACAGGATATGACTAAAGAAAAATTCCAAGAAAATTTTCAAGTAAACTATTGCAACTATTAAAAAGGCTCAACAAGTCTATAACTGTAAGATCAACATAATGATATCAGAATTATTCTAATAAATCAGCAATTATAAAATGAAAACATTAAAAATAGCACATCCAATGGCAACAAAAAATAAAAGACCTCTAGAATAAAACTGAAGAATAACTTGATCAAAGTAGTTCAAGGAAAAGAAAAAAAACAGTACATGAAGGATCTTATAAAACACTGAAAGGTATAAAAAAGATCTAAATACCACGGGGATTACAATTGAGATGAAAAAAAAAACTACAAAAAAATGTAAAAATAAACATATTATTTTTTAAAAAGATCTAAATAGAAAGTAAGTGTTCTTAGACTAAACGGATGATGTGTCTTTTTCTAAAGATGGTAATCTTCCAAGTTGATTGTAGATTTAATGCAATTCCAATGAGAATTCCAAATGCATGTTGTGTTGCACAGGGAAAATAATAGCAGATTCCCTTGGGGGGAAAAGGTAGAAGAACTTGCTTTACCAGTTATCAAGATGGCTTCGTGGGTGGGAGGTAAAAGCAATGTTTAGTCCTTTAGCCAATGGCCTAAGTTAAAGGACTATGAGTGGCTCGGTGGTGGCGTGGGGGTGTCTGTCTAAGGAAGTGAACCTGTTCCCCTGAATCATGTGCAGTGTTGTGGACCAACATTACTTCAATATAAAATTCTTCAAAAGATAGTTTTTAAAACTATAACAATTTAATAATACAGTGTGGGCATAGGGAACGTTAAATAAACCTGTAGCACACATCGGAGACTTCATTGGATATCTGATTTATGACACAGGTGGAATTTAAAATCAGGAGAAAGCATCCTTCAATAGAGGGATCTGAGATCATTAGATAATCATGGGGTGGAGAAGTGAAACTGGATCCTGTCTCACACCGCATATAAAAATCGATTCAAGACCTAAAACTGAAACGTAAAACCTTGAAGCTTTTTAAAAAAGAATAGCAAACCTATCCTTTTCGCTTTGGAGTGGAAAAGGATATTTTAAAGCAGAAAAAATAACAAACCATTAAAAAATGATAAACTTGGGGCCCTCCCTGGTGGCGCAGTGGGTTAAAGCACAGCACAAAAAAAATGATAAACTTGAACACATCGAAATAAATTTTAATTTACAAAAGACACCATAAAAAGATGCTTGTAACAATCATGAACAATAAAGCATGCCTACAAAGCAAACCTCCTGAAAGAAAATGAACATAAGATCTTCACATGCATGCATTTCAAAAGAAAAACAATACAAATAGCCAGAAAGCACTTGAAACATTGCTGTCTCATGAGTTGGCAGGAAATGGGGGTATCACTTGCAACTCTGGAAGCTGACATTAGTTATTCTTCCTCTGTGCTCTCCTCTTTCCAGCAGGTTGGAATCTGAATATGGCTTTCACTGTACAAGACACTGACATGCCCAAAAGGATGATAAGCCCACGGGAGGGCTCTTGCCTGCCTATTTCGTGCAAAGCCATCTCAGCAACTGGAACAACTCACTTCGGGACTGTTTGGTGAGAAAGAAAAACATGTCTCTGTTCCTTCAACCACTGTGTGTTGGGGTCTCTTTGTTATAGCAACTGTACCAGTATTTTGTAAACATAACTCAGAGCACCAACTAGGTGGGAAAATGATCATTTTAACTATATTACAATGAAAAAATCTGTACCATAGAACACCATAAATATTGTGAACATACAAGCAATAATTAAAATGAGATTTTTTTTTTTTAAGATTTTGTTTATTTATGCATACGGAACTGGGAAACAGGCCAGAGGTACAGGGGCAGTGAGAGTATTCACCAGGGAGCAGAACAGGCAGATCGACGAAGTACACTGCTGAGGGGAGCAGCAGGGAGATAGCAGAGGTCTTCTGCACCATGTGGGTCACCTTTCCGGGGTGGGGATCGAACTCATGCTGAAGCGACCACGGCCAGCTTCGCAGTGCTGCACTCCAACTCACTGCGCCACTAGGGAGGGCCCAAAATGAGATATTTTCAATGTATATCCAGAGTACATTTTTAAAATGTTTCAAGATAGTGAAGAAATGCCAAACAACCCAATAGAAAAATAGACAAAAAAGGTACATGAAATCACAGAAGAAACCTGAATGGTTAAACACACATCAAAATCTGTTTGATTTTAATAGTAATCAGATAAATGCAAGTATAGATACATACCTGAGAGAAACTCTTTGTACACTGGTACGTATACCTGCATTTGTGGAGTGTTAACTACAGCACTATTTATAAGCGCTGAAAACAAACTGGAAGCAACTTAAATGTCCATCAGGAAAATAGGACCCCCTGCCCACTTCAAGCCCTTTGTGTTAGCTGAGGTTATTTAAGGAGCTGACTGAAGCCATGTGGATGAACGGCCCAGTCTTTCTAGGCTTCTACTGTGTACGCAGGAAATGTGTGTTTTATTGAACCGCTTTTTGGTTTCAAAAAAATGAAAATAGATTAGCAGCACCAAAGACAAATTTAAAAATTAATAGCAAATGGGGAAAACAGCAAACTGCCAACAATACAGATAATATGTCCCAAATACATGAAGCTTAAAAATCTGTCAAGAATACAATAGAGAAAATGTGCTGTAAGGCCTCCGGTGCTGCAAGGGGTCAGCTCTCAGCCCCGCCAAGCAGCCGCTGCAGCTAGTCTGATCCCCACCCACCCACCCAGGCAGGGAGCTGACCCACATAGCGCAGCAGACCTCTCCTGTGGCCTGCTGCGCCCCTCAGCAGTGTGTTTCACTAGATCTGCCTGTTCTGCTGCCCACTCTGTCTCTGGAAAATCCTATTACCTCGCTTCCCCCACCACCTCCAGCTCCTACACCTCTGGCCTACACCCCTGTTCTTGTATGCAAAAATAAATAAATCTTTAAAAAAACAAAAAGTATTGTTAAAAAAATGCATTGGAATGATAAAATACTGAGTCCAGGAATGTTGTGCCTTTGTGCAGGGCAGGTAGGGACGTGTGTGTGTGTGTGTGTGTGTGTCCGTGTGCTTCGTATTATCTTAACATAGGAAGAAATCAACCTCATGTGGGCATCCAGAAAGGAAGCACAATTCCCCAGAGTTTTATATTCCTGGAGACTTACAAACTTTCCTATTTACAATTCTATTTTAATTTAGTCTCTTTCCCTATAGTGTTTTTTGTTGCCAAGTTATCCTCAAACACACAGCATTGGGTTTTACATTTCAGCCAGTATGAGAATCTCTTAGAAGGCTGCTCATATACAAACTGGGGAGGTGGCACCCCAGAGTCTCTGGTATGGTGGGTCTGGGGGAGACACCTGAGGATCTGCATTTCCAACAGGCTGACAAGTGAAACAGCAGCTGGTCTACACTTTGGAAACCACACTGCAGGCAGGCTGTGGTTCCCTGCGCATGCGTTTTTGTTTGTGGTGCATGGAGAAACAGTGAAAGAAGATGTGACCTCCTCCACGTTCACCTTGGGCTGCGGCCAGCACAGAAGCTCTTAATTCTAGGCGATGAGGAGGAGTGCTGACAGTGCAGCAAGTAGGAACCACGTGTCAGCAGAGTGAGTTTGACGTGAACTCACTTTCCCCTAACTATATGCCTGAACAGGTTGTGTATGATGTAACTGGTTGAGGAAATAACTGGGCGACTTCCCAGCAAACCTTGTCCCCTCATGCACGCACGCACACACCTGCCCCAGGGCCCCATCCTCAGCATAAACTCTAGTTTCTCTCTCTCTTTCTCTCTTTCACACACACACACACAAGGTGTGTGTGAGGGGAGTGTTGAAAATGCTGACCTCCCTATATATACAACAAACAAACCGGCCTAGGACTTGGCGCCCCCCCCCCCCTGTGAGCTCCTGAGTGACCTCGACCTCCTTAGTCCTACTGTCCTCTATCCTTTCAAGGCTGGGAGGGAGCCTGCTCTCTCTGGATCAGACATTTATGGTAGGTTAATAGGCTCCTGGGTACCTCGGGGTTCAGATCTTCTCAGCAAGCAGCAGGGACAGTCGTGAGTTTCTGGTCTTTCCAGCTGCATCCTCATCCTGTTCCCCAGCTTTTCAGGCCTGGAAAGTACCGACACACTTCAGCGGCCTGGGAGCCCAGGGAACATGTATTGGGGGGCAGGAGGGGGGCATATTTGCATGCATGCCCCCGGGGGCACTGGAGGTCAGTGTGCAGAAGACCAGGGCCCTGGGGCTGGTCATTATTTCCAGGCCTGAACCTTCCAGTCCCTGGTGCTCTGCCAAAGAGCCGGGCTCTCAGCTAATGAAAGTCTCTGATTAGCTGATGGTGCCCAGGGAGGTGCAGTGGCTGCCAAACTTGGCTCCTTGTGCCACTTCCCCATGGAAATGGTGCTGCTCCTGCAGCTCCGAGCTCACCTCCCACCTCCCAGCCCAGCACTCATCCCCGGGGGGGACGGGGAGACCGCCCCCCCTCTGCTGAGCAGAATGGCTGCAACAGTTAATTAACTGGACTAACGGGGCCTGGGCAGGGAGAGGAAAAGAAGCTGCAAGAGTGAGGACGTGGTGAAGACAGGAGCACCCGCAGGCAGGAGCCCAGGGCTGGGTTCGGAATCACTCCAGCAGCTTGTATCCTGCGTGTTTGGAGAGGGAGCAGGCAGGGGTTTGGAAGATTGTTTTAAGGAAGTCCTTTTTTTTTTTTAGGCAACATGCTAATTCTTCACCGGCAAATTGTATGGGCCCCCTTTCATGAGGCTAGGAAGCAGGCCCTCGGCTTTTTATGTGCACCCGTTTGTTGAATCTTTGCAAAATCCACACGAGATGGGGGTACTTATCTTCATTTCGCCAGTGAGCAAACTGAGGTCTGCCAAAGTCCACACTTGGAGTCAATAACAGAGCCAGGCGCTCAGCTACTGCCATTGTGGGGTGTGCTAGGAAAGGAGGCTCAAAGCATAAATAAATGAAATACTAATTCCGTTTCCCTGTATTTCAGGCAGCCTACTAAACCATCTTAGGTAGCAGCACCTCTGACCCTAACTGCAGATAGATTCAGTTTCCCTACTTTACATATGAGAAAATTTAAGCTGAAAGAGGCGCAATAATCTGCCTAAGGCCCCACAACGAGGAAATATCAGAGCAGGGATCTGCTATCCAACTATCTGAGTCCTTATCGTATTTCCTTGCCTCTATTATTTCTTCTCTTTTGGAACTGCTGCAGGCATCTTGCATAAGAGGAGGCTGCAGGATGGTGAGATGTTTTTTGTGTTTTTCCTATAGCGGAAGCTCTGGTTTGACATGGAGGAGCAGGATCGCCAAGGAGACTCAGATGGTGGAACTCAGCTGATCCTGGACAAGGGGCCAGGACCTGGGGTCACGATGCTTACAAGGATTCCTTCGGGGCTACCTACCTTGCTCATCCCCTCTCTAGGCATCACCACCACCTTGAGGGGCTTGTTCATCGAGGAGATTTCCTTAACATTTTAAAATTTAAATGCTTCCCTGGTCCCGAAGCCAGCTGGACAATCATCACTGGCAGCTCTGTCCTTCCTGTTTGTTCTCCTCAAGCAGTTCCAGCTGACCAGCCACCGGGAACCTGCTGCTTAAGCAGCTAGTAATGGGCTACAAAACAGCACGAGGAGGGCCTGGCAGGCAGGGGTCAGTGCCCTTCTGGGCTGTGGGCTGCCTTACAGAGAAGAACCTGGGACTGAGAATGCAGGAACACGGCTGACACGTGTTTATCGAGCTCTGCTCTGCTCTAGACTTTGTTTTCTGAAGAAAAAAAAACACAAATATGGGTAGGCAGCTCAAGCCATACAGAAGAATAGAAAGTGAAAAGTGGGAGCCTCCCCCCGTGGCACAGTGGGTTAAAGCGCAGCACTACGGAGCTCTCACAGCCTCTGCAGCACCAGCTCGAGCTCGAGTTCAATTCCTGGCAGCTGACCCACATGGCACGGCAGACCTCTCCTGACTGGCCCTCTGCTCCCGTCACCAGTGTGTTTCAGACAGTCTGCCCGTTCTGCTCCCCACTCTGACTCTGGTGAAGCCTCTCACCACCCCTGCACTTCTGGCCTGTACCCCAATTCTGTATGCATGAATAAATAAATCTTTAAAAAAGAGAACGAGGGCTCTCCCTGGTGGCACAACGGGTTAAAGCACCGCATTATGAAGCTCTCCAAAGCCACTGCAGGACGAGTTCGATCCCCAGCCAGGGAGCTGAACCATGGCAGACCTCTTCTGACTCGCCTGCTGCTCCCCTCAGCAATGTACTTTGTCAGTCTGCCTGTTCTCTGTTTCTGGTGAATCCGCTCACCCACCATACCTCTGGCCTGTACCCTAGTTCTGTAAGCATAAATAAATCTTAAAAAAAAAAAAAAGAAAGAAAGTGAAACTTTCTCTCCCAGACATCCCACCACCAGAAGAACCACCCACAACTGCAGTTCATCATCTATCTTTTCATTCTTTTCTTTGCTAAATCTTTTATAAATAAGAAGTTATCTTTAAATTTTTATTTATCTAACATAAAATGGGACTGAAATGCTGATCGTCAATTTGATAATTAACTCTTCAAACTTTTATATCAATTTACAGTCCCACCAAGAGCATATAAAATGGCCCACTTCCGGCCCTCCCTGGTGGCACAGTGGGTTAAAGCACAGCACTAAGAAGCTTAAGCCACTTCCGCATGAGTTCGATTCCCGCCTGCCCCAGAGGTGACCCACATGGTGTGGCAGACCTGTCCTGACCCGCCCGCTGCTCCCCTCAGCAGTGTACTTCGTCGATCTGCCTGTTCTGCTCCCCACTCTGTCTCTGATGAAGCCTCTCACCGCCCCTGAGCCAGATTTATTAAAGATTTATCTATGTATGCACACAAGAACTTGGGTACAGGCCAGAGGTGTGGGGTTCGGATGAGAGGATTCACCAAAGATAGAGTAGGGAGCAGAACAGGCAGATCTACTGAAATACTGCTGAGGAGAGCAGTGGGCAATACAGGAGAGGTCTGTCACACCATGTGGGTCACCTCCCTACCTGGGGATCTAACATGTGCTACAGTGGCCGCGGATTGCTCCAGCTTCATAATGCTGTGCTTTAACCCTGTGCCACCAGGGAGGACCCTGCAGCCACAACTTTTACACATGTGTAAATTATAGTTGTGTGTGTACTATAAATTCCAAGCGTACAACATATAATTTTTGAACACATGTTCAGAACACACTCCACTTTATGCCTATAGCTTCAGAGCAGATGTCATGTCTTGCTGTTTAACACAATGTACATAAAATGAGGTTGGTGGGGCACCTGGCAGGCCCCAACAAATCTCTGACCAAAGTGAGTCATGGGCTAACGAGGGCTGAGAAATAAACCATAACTGAGATCTCGTAGAGTCATGAACAGACAATGTGTAACAGGGGTTAGGTGTAAGGAATTTAGGGTTCACAAATACACGCATTCAAGTTCTAACTTAGCCACACACTAGATTCATGCCTTAGGTAAGTCAGTCCTCTGGCCCTGGTTTTTTCTCATTAGTGAAAAGGAAATAATATTCTCTGTCTCCTAAGATGGTGGATGAAATGAGTTGGTGAATGCAAAACACTTTGCAAAATGCTTGAAATGTGAGTCTCAGCATTGTCAGTTTTTATTGTATGTTGCCTACATTCTGGTTTGTTGAGAGTCAGAGTAGTTCAGCTGTACAGAAAACTTACGCATAACAGAAGAGATGGCCTAAGTGAGGTTAAGCCAGTGATTCTCATTCTCAGTGATTCTCAGTCCTGGCTGCCCCTTAGAATCATCTGGTGAGCTGAAAACCAAATTTTATGCCAAGTCAATGAAACCAGAATCTGTGACGGTGCTGAGAATCTTTTGAAACAGAGGCTGCCGTGAGTATGAACTTGGAGGCGAGACTAAGAGCCCATGAATGAGGCTCTGAAGATCAAGGCTTTGATTGAACAAGTCCTCTGAATCTCTGACACCAGACCATAGAGGCCCCCTTTCCACTTGTCCAGAAATCCCGTTTTATATGTGGAGGTCTATGTAGTCCTAGGAAAGCTGATGCCTTCCCTGACTTCAGGGGGCAAGGGGTGACCCCTAAGGCTACTGTTATCGCTGCATTTTATGTCACCAGGACTGGTTCAGAGCCTGGGAGCAAAGCAATTGTAATCAGGGTGACTCACAACTGTTGGCAACACTGGGACAAAGATGCTGTCTTTCCTGTTGAGGGCGAAGGAGAAAGCAGGTAGCCTTGGGAGCTGTTTTTAGTTGTGTTGGAACTCCCGAAGGGTGTCAGCTTTAGTAGAAGACTGTGAAAAGAAAGACATTATCTTACTGTGAGATCAAGCCTCACCTGCAGCTAGATTCCTCTGGACTGTCTAGCATCATGAACTGATGAATTCCCCACTCAGGTCCATTTTTTTTTACACTATGCATACAAGACCTGAGGTACAGGCCAGAAGTGCTGGGGGTGAGAGGATTCACCAGAGACAGAGTGGGGAGCAGAACAAGTGGACCAACAGAATACACTGCTGAGGGGAGCAGCAGGGAGGCAGGAGGTCCGCTGCGCCCTGTGGGTCACTCCCTGACTGGGGATCGAACTGGCACTGAAGCGGCTGCACCTGGCTTCACAACGCTGCTCCTTAACTCGATGCACCACCAGGGAGGCTCCTGCTTTCACATTTCATGCCCCAGTGTGTGTCTGTACATGCAGCTCCTTTCCCGGGCACAGTCTTTCCACCTTCACATGGCAAATTCCCTCTGTTCTTCAAGCTGTCACTCAAATGCCACTACGCTCATTTTCCTGATGGAGCCAGGGGTCTTCTTTGGCTTTGTCATATACTTTCTGTACCCCTTCATCACAGTGCTGTCAGTGGTGGGACATGTTCTATGCCAGTCTCCACACACCTTCCCCTTTCTCTCCCCAGACCATGAACTCCTGAAGGGCAGGGCCTCTCTGAAGTGTCTGGGGGGCAATACAAAGTGACAGGTAAATAAACTAGTCTGGAGGAGGTGACCCAAACTAAAATCCCAGCTCTACTGTCTTGGATAAGACATTCAACTTCTCTTTGCTTCATTTTCCCCATCTATAAAATAGGGATTCAAAATAATACTCATAT